TCACTAGCTCCTTCTCTTCCTCGTCAACATCATGCAGTGCAGTATCAGTCGCCTTGATAACTTTTTGAAGTGTCGGGAACCCGAAGAGCCTATTCTTTTATTTGAAAAACAATGCATTGAGTTTGGAACAAGATTATATAAACTTGTTCGTGACCTCCACTCAAAAAATAAATGCATCTTGGCTATGCACTGGAAAGGAAACATCTACAGTTTTGAGAAATGTCCGCATAGATGATATTACCATTGCATGTCTCTGCACCTTTTTCTTATAGGATAATTTTTGGTGAGGGAGTAGAATCCCACTCAGAGTTATAGGATACATGCACTTGCTATTCACCAAGACCAGGTATTCCTATATATGTGGCTGAGAGTTTGGGAAGAGGCAGTTATCCCACTATATCTACTTGATCATATAGTTCATGGGCTATTTCCTTTTTTTCATATTTCTCTTTTAACTTATATATCTTCTATTATCGGAAGAGCCATTCTTGTTGCCTGGAGTAGTCCAGTATTGCATTTTGTGAGAACAGCAAAAAGTTGTATTAATGCAAGTAGTAACCCAGAGGATAATTTTTCTATGTGAATCTTCAATCCGTGATCTAAGGAACTGAAGGCTTTTTAAAGGAAGTTGATGAAATAAGAGCTATTTTACCTCAACATATATATTTGCTATGGATTAACATTTCCTTGACCAGATAGTTTCATTACCTTTAGCATGTTTCATTATTACTGCTGCTGCTGTCTCATTCAGGTAAGAAACGCAGGAAAGGTAGCAGTGAAGCCAACCTGCTCTCTACATGGTATACAGAGGAATGCTATCTTCCAACAAAAACACGACCACGACATACGGGTATGTTGCTCATTGAAAAGCCATAACAGCACAGAGGCATCAGAAGTATCAACTTTTAGCTAGCCTTTAGAGACATGATGTTTGGAAGATTTAGACATGGATCAAAGTGGTGCCATCTCTAACCCCATTGTAAGAAATCATTTGACTCCCGGATACATAGAAAAGCTAATATAAAATGGGTTCATAGTTCCCCCCCCCCCCCAAGATTTTCAGGTTAACGGTCCTTTGATCTTTTTGAAAAACTAGAGAATCTATTTTGTATGACCAACTGATTCGTTTATTTTGCTTATATAATTGCATTACATATATTGTTATGTAACATAGCATAACATATAAAGGCTTTAAAATTTTCGTAACATTTATTTAGTGTTATTGGTGATTTATCTTATACTGATATTTCCATTTGTATGAAAAATGGCAAGTTTAGGAATATAAATTACCCTTGACAAGTCCTGTATTTGTTTTGTGTTTATATGTTTTATGTATAACATAATTGTATTTAAAATATTATATATTTTAAAACACTGGCCGGACAAAGCAGCGGTTCCGGTTGAACCGGCCGGTCCGATCCAATTTTCAAAACACTCGTTTCAACTCCCTCCTCATATTGCTGGACATCCTCTCCTGGTTCTATTGATTTTGATTTTAACAATTGTGTTTTATTATTTTATTTGACCGCCCACAACAAACAAACCAATCAAAACCTGGAACATGCATTATTCTACACTTTGTCTATACACTTTTGATATTTTATATTTTCTCCTAACGTGCGTAAACCCAACAATTGAATTATTTATCTCAAACATCACATTCTTATTGTATGTCTCATTTCTATTTTTTTAAGATATATATTATTGTAAATACAATCATTACTCAAGGCTCAAACTTGTCAATTTCATGTACAATATTTTATTATTAAAATTTGATTAATGTGTTTAATTAGCACAAATTATGAATAGGATTTTGATATAATATTATAGATAAAATGAAAAAAAAATAGTGAGGTAATTTGTTAACTCGTCACTGAAAAGTGAGGAAAACGTTTTCTAGAAAATGTTTTACGTGAAACAAACGGACCTTAATTTCATCAAATTCTGAACTTCCCTTCATTCACCAAAATCACAACTTTCACCGTTCAAGCATGAAACAAAAAAATAATTACACCAATTTGTAGAGAGTTTAATGAAGATTATTTTTTTATTTCACACTTTAGCCCAAAATCTTACTAAATGTGATCAAAAATGGAAAAAAAATGCTCACTTTGACTACGAGTCTCAACAACTTGCTGGAGAAGGAGAGACTTTTGAAATTTCTGGAAAAAATCCCCTCAATTTTTACTTTAAAAACCAATAAAAAATTTATTGATTTTAGGCCAAAAACCCAAATTGCCATTGATGAATTCCCAAAATTACAATCATGTCACTCCATTATCTTTATTTTAATATTATTAAATAGTTGTAAAAATTTCATCTCTCAATTTTTTTTGACCTTCTAATTTTTTAAAATTTCATTTTAGTCACTAAATTGCACTATATCACTTTATAGTGCAATTCTCACCAAATTCCACTGATTCAGCTTAAATTTCTCTATTTAAATATATCCATATAATTTTTTCCAAACCAAATCTACCTTCGTGCAAATTTTTATAAACTTCCGATTCGAGTCGGTTATTCGAATAATATATCGAACTTTATCCTTTAGTAGACTTTTATGCAAACTTCGGATCAAAAATCTAAAACCCACTAAAATAATTGTCTTGACCTGAACTACTAATTTACAAATCCAAAATATGACTTTTGAAAATTTACATTATTAATCCCTATACTTTTACAATTCTATACTTTAATCCCCAAACTTTTAAAAATTACACTTCAATAACTAATCAAATTTTTGGGGTATTACATAAATGTAGAGTAGACAAAGCCATTCCTCCTACGGACCTCTCCAAATGAATAACACACTAAGTAACTAAATAATTTAGTTAAGTCCTCTTTAATTATTATTTCTTTGTCAATCATTTTACCAAGGGTTAAAAAAATACTACCTTCTATCATACGCAATGATTTCATCTAAAATCTCATCATCCTTCCCCACCTTTCCGCTTTTAAATCAATGCATGCTCGGCACCAAAATAAATTAATGCATTTTATCATATATTTTTTAATCAGAACCTTCGTTTTTAACGAGTAATTAACTAGGAAACTAAAATATCATTTTTTTAACAAAAAGAAAAGGCAATTGCCACGTGCATATTTTTGTTTTTGTGTAGAGATTATTCTTTTTCAATCTTTCCAACAGGTTTGAAACCCCAATCAATCAAAGACCACCCACTCTTGATCTAGTAGCTTTCCATATATAAACAAACAAATAAATAAATATAGGTCTAATTATGAATTTCATCATTTACTTTGTTAAATTTGGAAAGTTAATCCTTTTATTGAATAATATCATTAAACCTTTTTATTAAATTATTGACCTAAAAACCAATATTTTAGTATTTTATATGTAAAAACTAATTAAAAAACAATTAATTTACTTACATAACATGTAATAAATTAATAAAAATCAATTGTTAAAGCCCATGTGATTACAAATAATAACAGATGTAAGGTTGTATGATAAGGAAGTGAACTTACAAAATTTAAGGGGTAAAAACAAATTATCAATATAAGAATACAAAGAAAACACTTAAATTATATAAAAAAATGAAATTTTCATAGAAGTGACCACAGTCGTTAACTCCCTCGATCTATCTCTGATTACTAATAAATTGAATAAATTCTTAATGTTTATAAGAGTGAAGGGGTCAAATTTCGATAAAATAAAATAGAAATGTTAACTTGTTATTTTGCATAAACCCTAAATAAAAAGTCACTTTCAACAAATTGGTGCACATGCAATGGATTTTTGAGATAAGAAGAGCAGCCGCGGGTAGATGGTAGGCGGTGGACAAGGAAATTGCCAAGAAATAGCTAAAAGTCATACCTTTGATTCTCCGTCATCGTTTGCAGGCTGAGAAGCGCGGTTGAGATCTCCCAATTTGTTTACCACTCTCACATGATGTTACCATTCAATTTCCTTCCCATTTTCATTGTCTGCCCCAAAACCACACTCAAACAAAACAATGACCACTTAAGGGTTTTGGTCATCTACACTCTTCAACCCTTTCTACTTACTTTTTTTTTTTACTTTTCGGTATCTTATCTATTAATCGATTATTCTTGATCATATTTTGTAGAGACTTATTACGAGGACGACTCTTCTAACCAAGTTTGTTCCATTCGCAAATGTTAGGATTCGAACTCATAACCTTACTTAAGGGGTTTAGTGCATCATTTCACTATATCATCTGATCGTTGGTCTTTCTACTTACGATTTTAATTTCGCTTCTCCTTTTTCTTATTATAATATTTATTTATTAATTATAATTTGAGTTAATTGTATCATACATTCTCAAATTATGACTTTCATTTTAAATTGATCTCTAATTTTTTAAATATTATAATTTCATCATTGAATTATCATCCTTGTTCTAAATTAGTTTCATAATTTTGAACATTATAATTTCATCTTTAAACTATTTTTATATGTTAATTATGTCTCTATCAATAAAATTTTATAAAAATTATTAACTTTCATATAAACACTGATGTGTATTATATAATAAAATGATATGATATAGATAATAATTAATGTTGGATATAAATAAAATAATGATTTATCTCTCAAACGTAGAAATATTTATAAATAAATTGAGATAACAAAAAAAAAATAACATTTTAAATTCATTCTAAAAAATATTTTCGGAGACATTATATAACATTAGCCGGTCTATTGGGAATGGACTGAATTAAATTGAATTTATTTATTTTATTAGGATAAATCCATGTTACAATAGGTTTCGTAAATTTGAATATAATCTAAATCAATAATTTAAAAGTAATACTAATAATAATATTTTACACCAAAGTACTGGGTTTTCGTTTTCAACAAAACAGGGGGGGGGGGGAAAGGAAAAAGAAATTAAATCGGTACTTATTTTGCCAAATCCAACTCTGAAAAGGAGTTTGTTTATTTCCAACTAATGAAAATAATTTAGTCAAATTAATAATAATAAAAAACAGCAACAAATGAATAAAATAAAATAGAAATTGATTAGCCTTTGTATTCCTGGCAGAGATAAGGAAGAAACAGAAGAGAGAGCTCTCCTGCTAACATCGTCGTTGGTTTACTTCCCGCAAAACTTTCTCTGTGATTTTCCCTTTATAAAAAGAAGCCAAACAAGACATAGATTTTAAAAATTTTAAATATATATATATATCGTAAGGGTTTCGTGGAGAGAGCCTTTGTTTTCAACCCTAAAAATTCACACAATTCCTTCTCTTCACGTAATCGCTTTTGGTTTTGTTCGCTCGCGGATTCCGGGTTTTCTTCTTCTCCTTCTTCCCTATTCCAAGCTCCTTTTTCCTGTTATATTCTTTTGGGGGTGGAGGGTTAAATTGTGTTTTTTGTTTGTCAAGCAAAAAGGGGATATTTGGGGGTTATCTGAAGAGTTCGAATTTGCCTTTTTTGGGTCTATTAATTTATTGTATTCGGTGGTTGGCTGACGAGAATCAGGGTTTTTGGTGGCATTTTAATTGGTGGATCTATTGAAAATTCGGTCTTTTCAGTGAAATTTTATGGTGGCTCTGTTTCGATTTAGGGATTCCGGGAAGGATTTCACGTTAAATTTGGGAACTTTATTGGTTCATTATATCCAGGAAACCTTCGCTGCTTATATTTGGTGAAAATTTAGGATTTTATTATTAAGGGCTGAGATATTGGTAAATTATCCCCATTTCTGTGCGGGTTAGTTTGCCAAAACATTGATTTTTTTGGGTTTGCATTGTGGTCTCTTGGGAGCTGAAGAAAAGATGAGTTCAAGTATCACAAGTGATCTGATTCCTGAAGGTAAGCTTTTGGTTCATATTGCTGAGAACGGACATTCGTTTGAGCTCGATTGCAATGAGACAACATTGGTGGAGGCAGTTATGCAATCGATTGAACTTGTTTCTGGAGTTCACTTCAACGATCAGCTTGTTCTATGTGCAGATTTGAAACTCGAGCCGCAAAGGCCACTTTCTGCATATAAGCTTCCTTCCAGCGACCGGGAAGTCTTCATATTTAACAAGTCAAGGTTGCAAACTAATTCCCCACCACCACCACCTGAGGACGTTGATATAGTTGAAATTTCTGAACCCCAGCCGCCGGCTTCTTATAGTGATCCTCATCCTTTGGATGATGCTCTTGACCCGGCTTTGAAGGCTTTACCTTCTTATGAGAGGCAATTTAGGTACCATTATCACAGAGGACAAGCTCTATATAGTCGAACACTGGCAGAGTTCGATCATTGTGAAAGGCTGTTGAGGGAGCAGAAGGTTCAGGAGAGGGCATTGGATGTTGCAAGGGGTAATTTAGATCAATATTATAGGATGATTCAGCAAAATTGTTCGGAATTTATGAAGCGGTATAAGCAACAACATCGTTATCATGCTGATTTGTTGGCAAACTTCGATAAGGATATGCAGAAGTTGAGATCCACCAAGCTTCACCCGAAATTACAGACTGCTACGAGGAAGTACTTATCGGATTTTGTAAAGGAAGATAACTTAAGGAAGTCAGCAGAAAATTGTAACAGCTCTCACAGGCAGTTTGAGAACAAAGTTGTGCAACTCAATCAGATGTTTGGTGAGGTGAAGCGGAAGGTAGAGGAGTTGTTCACTTCAAGGGCTTCCATGCCTATTAAGAATTTAGAACTAACTATCAAAGAGCATCAGCGGTACCTGAATGAACAGAAGAGCATTATGCAGTTTTTAAGGTTTGTTATTTTGGTTTATACATTTTTTGTTTTCCTCCTAGGACCCTAGTTATTTGAGATCAGCCTCTTTATTATGTTATAGTGATCCGGTGTTGTGATTGTTTACTCTAATGTGTTGTCACTTCAATGTTGAACTTATGATTTTTTCCCTTCTTTATATTGGATAGTTTTTATCGCAGGGATCAGTTTGGTATTTTGAGTGTTTGAGCAGTATGGAAAATCATTACATTTGTTATTCTTATGATATTTGCTTTGCATGACTCTCTAGAAATGTTTATGATGAATGTTGAGGTACACAATTTAGGTTAAATTGTCCTGGAAAATAAGAGGCTAAAATAATAATGACTTCGAAGTCCATACTTTACTGATTGATGAAGATGGGCAGAACTTGTATATAAGGTTAATAATAACCTTTCGTCAAGTCTAATGTGGCTCGGTGATTTGGAGGAGGTTTACTAATGAGATTCCTCATGTCCATATGACTATGAATTGTTTGAGACCACTTATGGGATTCCTCATGGTATAGATCTTTTGATCTATATACAATAGTGTCAACTGAAGAAAATGTTAAAACAGAAGCTTGGTGGGTTTAATCTTATACTAGTCTAATCTGGTCATAAAAGGATTATGGACCCTTCATAACGTTTAAAAGTGCATTTGGAAAATGTATAAGTGAACAAGTATTCTTCTAACCCTAGCTGACACTTTTGTAGAATATTTTTGAGATTGAGAAACTGAACTCTATTTCTGAGACAATTTAAGAGTCCCTATTTCGTTTCTACTCTACTTTCTAAGGTCCAATTGGATCTCAACTTTTCTTAAGCATAAGCTTATTTGTTTGTTTACTATTCTCTTTTTCAACTGCTTTTTGGTTTACAGTTCTTTTGTGCACATACGATGCAATGATTTTCTCTAATAACTATCTCTGTAAAGTTCCAGTATGTTTGAAATTGATGACTTTGCATTTGTGTTATTGCAGTAAAGATGTCAATACAGTGAAGAAACTTGTGGATGATTGTCTGTCCTCTCAATTATCTTCCTCCCTTCGTCCTCATGATGCAGTTTCAGAGCTGGGTCCTATGTATGACGACCATGACAAAAATCATCTGCCAAGGATGTTGGCTTGTGAACATGCAATATCAAAGCTGCTTGACTTTTGCAAGGATAAGAAGAATGAAATGAACATGTTTGTTCACACGTACATGCAAAAGACTACATATGTTACATACCACATAAAGGATGTCAAACTGCAGTTTCCTGTTTTCAAAGAGGCAATGGTGCGCCAGGAGGATCTATTTATGGACCTGAAGTTAGTCCGTGGAATTGGTCCTGCATATAGAGCATGTCTTGCTGAAATAATAAGAAGAAAGGCGTCTATGAAGCTTTACATGGGCATGGCTGGCCAGCTGGCTGAAAGGCTTGCAACAAAGAGAGAAGCTGAGGTCAGGAGACGAGAGGAATTTCTGAAAGCACATGGTTTGTACATACCCAAGGATATATTGGCTTCCATGGGGTTATATGATACCCCTAACCAGTGTGATGTCAATATAGCTCCTTTTGACACTGCATTGCTCGATATTGATATTCCTGAACTGGACCATTATGCTCCTGAGTATTTAGTAGGACTGCCTAGCAAACCTGCTAGCTTAAGAGGTTCAAGTTCCTTATCAAATGAGAGCTCTCATTCTGCTGATACTGAAGAGATTGGTGTAGATACTCTTGGGAAAGATGATTCCAAGGACTTCCTTGAGGGATCTGAATTGGTTGAGATTGCTGGAACTAGCAAGATTGAAGTCGAGAACGCAAAACTAAAAGCTGAACTTGCCACTGCAATTGCCCTGATTTGTTCTCTGGGTCCTGAATTTGAATATGAATCACTTGATGATAGTAAAGTCAATACTTTATTGAAAAATGCTGCAGAAAAGACTGCTGAAGCCTTGCATTTGAAAGATGAGTACGAAAAACATCTCCAACAAATGCTTAAGGAAAAACAAATGCAGTGTGTTTCATATGAAAAGCGCATTCAGGAACTTGAGCAGAGATTGTCCGATCGGTATTCACAGGGGCCAAAGCTTTCTATAACTAATAATGCCACTGGCTTTGGCCTTCAGGGTGTGAAGGATGATGATTGCAAGCCCGATATCTCAGGTTGTGGGGTGAATGTACCTCGTGTAGCTACATCTGAGCCCATGGATGAGGTTTCTTGCATTTCAATTTCTTTGGATGCAAAGCTGGGACAGTCTGGAAGACAGACAAGCAAAGGTCGAGAAGGGGTTGATGAGAATATGATGGAGTCATCTGGAATGCTCAACCCTCATTTGGATTCATCGATGCAAGAGCCACAACAAGAAGATCTGCAAATTGGAGTGAAAGATGGAAAAGATAGGATGGTGGGACAGTCTGGCATGTCTCTCACTAACAGTTCTACTGCTGAAAGCATGCCTGAGCCTTTGAATGCTTTACCTTGTGGGACAGCAGCTGAGCTAGGGTTAGTTTCAAAAGTTGGTGGGGATCTTGTGTTGGAGTTGCAAAGTGCTCTTGCAGATAAGCTGAACCAATTAAGTGAAACTGAAGCAAAGCTTAAGGATGCTTTGGATGAGATTTCCATGCTTAGGAGTGAGATGGAAACAAATCATAAACTTCTTGACGAATCTCAGGTAGTACCAGGCAAATTTCTTCCCGCTACTTTCGTTTTGGTTTTCCAGAGTTTTAAGATAGATTAAACAAAGTTCTTCATTGAATTTTGTCATCTTTTGAAGCATTCATGTTAGCTTTCACATGGATATTTCTAGGATTCCCCTCACACATTATGAACTACATTGTATGAAGTCATATACCTTTCTGGGCTAGATGTACAAGTAAATTGTTCTTTCAATTATACTGGCCTAGTGGCATCCACAATTTGGGTGAAAGGAGAGGCAGAACTGGATCTGTATCATTCTATACAAAACAATGCTTCAGGTGTAAATCTAACTTTTTAAAAGCGAGAGAAACCCAATAAGTTGTAGGTTGGACTAAGTGGCAAAGTTGGACGACTGACGAGGAGGTTACTGGTGAACTAAAGGATCCTTCATATATTATATTATTTGGAATATTGTTGTTGCTACCAATGAAATTTGATTGGAGGGGATGTTGAAGGAAAGTCTAACCTGTGTTATTTGCCATTATAGTGTAAATTCAGCTATCTGATCAACCTTCTTGTGTTATATTCTAATTTTCCGTCCCTGGTACAGATGAACTGTGCTCACTTGGAGAATTGTTTGCATGAAGCAAGAGAGGAAGCCCAAAGCCATCGTTGTGCTGCTGATCGCAGGGCCTCAGAATATAGTTCCCTCCGTGCATCGGCTGTTACGATGCGTGGTCTTTTTGAAAGGCTACGAAACTGTGTCTACGCTCCTGGTGGGATGGCCGGTTTTGCTGATTCTTTGCGTACTTTGTCTCAATCTTTAGCCAAGTAAGTTATTAGATATAGTGCTTTTGAGGTTTGCACAGTAGTTATATTCAATCCAGTTTCCTTCATCCACTGATTGGCCATTTTTAGGGGCAAAAGAGTGGCAAGCTTAGGGCTGGAAGAAAAGAAACATTTTTTTGTTCTCAATATTATAAATTAAAGATCAGAGAGCTTAAAATTTTATACTTTTGTTCAAACTCATTGCTGTTTTCATTTTCCTGGGGAAATATAGAAACATCTGCTTTCTATTCCCTTTGGAGTTGAAAGGGTGATAGTATACATAAACATAATTATCTTCTCTTTTTAATTTTCTTCTTCCTCATTTATTTTATTTTAAACTTCTTTGATTGACAGTTTAATGATAAATTTCCCTATATCTGTGCTATTAAATTTTCAGTTCCCTTAATGATAGTGAAGATGATGGCTCTGCTGAGTTCCGCAAATGTACCCAGGTCCTTGCTGAAAAAGTTGGTTTCTTGTCTAAGCATCGTGAAGAGCTGCATGAGAAGTTCACTAATGTTGAAGGTGTAAATGAACAGCTTAGGAAGGAAATGGAAGAGAAAAATGAGCTGGTTAAAACTCTGTTCACTAAGCATCAACTTGAGAAGCAGGTAACATGGTCACTGTTCTCAACTTCGCAAAGAATGGGTGAATGTGGCTTGTTTATATATATGCTTAAACAATGAAAAAGAAACTTTTGTTCTTGCAGAGCCGTTAATCATGTATTATGTCTAGCAAGCTGTTGTAGAATAAATAGTTTGCCGTCTGTGTTTATGCAATTTATGTTTATTTAATATAAAGCTTTTTTTTTTTGCTGTTTAACTGACTGGTTTGAATTTCTTTCTTCAGTCAAACAAGGAAAAAATATCTTTCAGCCGCCTGCAAGTCCATGAGATTGCTGCATTTGTACTAAATTCATCTGGGCATTACGAAGCCATCACCCGAAACTGCTCCAACTACTACTTGTCTACTGAATCCGTGGCCTTGTTTACTGATCATCTCCCCAGCCAGCCAAGCTACATTGTCGGGCAGATTGTGCACATTGAGCATCAAACAGTGAAGCCACTGCTGCCTTCATCAAGTAGACCTGATCGTGGCAGGGCAGATCCTGCGGAACAACTAACCTCTAACACAGGGACAGAGCGGTTAACCCTGAATTCAGGATCAAGTTTGAACCCCTATGGTCTCCCAACTGGATGTGAATACTTCGTAGTGACAGTAGCCATGTTACCTGATACCGCCATTCATTCACCACCTCCTTCCTGATCCCTGCCCTGAAAGCGCAGATTCCGACATGATGGAAGAAACCAAAGTGTACATACATTATAAAATATTCAGAATATAAACGCTATCGTGGTGGCAGTTGAACTAGATTTTCTTATTGTACAGCCAACTTTAATCTCCTTTGTTCATAAAGCTACTCTTTCCAGGATTGTAAAAAGAAGTGGGACAATTCTGTAAATATTTCCAAGATTTGCCCTTTATGTTTACTCATTTCGTTCATCTCTATGATGTTAATCGATTGAAACCGTCAGGCTTATCGGAAATTCCACTTTTGGGAACACTTGTTTTTATTTATTTATATAAATCTGGGTGAATATAAGGTTAAAAGATTCTCAATTATTTAATAATGAATATTTATATCCTTACATATGCGGTGTTCGAACCTATTGTTCACTGAGGCCGTTTGTTTCGCCCGAAAACTTGGGCATGCCTATTGTTCTATATCATGGTTGTTACCAAGATGCTGGATACGATGCATGTAACACTCGCATTGGAAAGTTTTAAGGATTTCATTAGTCTATATATGTGTGGACTTAAACTATTGAAGCGTCTTTGTGGGAGGTTTTCGTATAAAAAGGGGCAATACTTCACCTGTTGAGTTTGGGTTGTGAGTTCTTTTCACAGTGCAAAGTCTTCGACTCATTTGATGTCTTTTGGAGCCCAAGTACTGTTTTATTGAAAATATCAAACAAAGAAGATACGGAATAAAATGAAAATCATATCAAGTTATTATGAATCATTCAAAGTATTATAAAAAAATTGATCTGATTAAATTGATTTTAACCATTAAATTATTTTCTTATTTATTGTCTTTAAATATCAATATATCCGTGTTTTCTTGACGTTGCAAATTTAATAAATTCTCTCATTTAAAGAATAACGGGAAGAAGCAATTGAGTTAAAATTGTGGCCTGCTATAGAAATTGTTTGACATGTCGACGACTTGTATGGTAACTTGAATACTTTCAGGTAGCTTCTGGCCAACCACAACTACATTTGACAATTTTTTAATTCCGACATCAAAGAGAAGATGAACTAACAAAACATTTGAAACGACTTTATGCGTTCATTTCCAACCATATACCACCAGTAATCAACAACCTGAGAGACCAGGTTCCCTGCTTCCAGGCTATATATATATATCCCCCACATCTCTTGTTTTCCTCACTCAACTCTCAAACCATTAGACGGGCAGCAAAACAACCTTCCTTTTCTCTGCAGGGTTCCAAAGCTCCAGAAATGGCCTCTACCAATTGTTTTGTTTTAGCCATTATCATGGCTTTGTCATTGTTGAACATCAATGTCGTGATAGCAGCTCGCCGTCTCCTCCAAATGCCACCAACATTGCCTGGAGTAGTGCTGCCACCACTGCCATCTCTCCCCACCCTCCCACAACCAACATTACCGACAACACAGCCATCGTTACCCAAGCTTGGAGCTCTACCTCCACTTCCTAGCATGCCAACATTGCCTACCCTACCAAAACTAACAATGCCACCTCTGCCAAACTTGCCACCAATCCCCACTATACCATCTACCCTCCCATCCTTTCCATTCTTCTCGCCACCTCCTTCAAAAACTAGCCCTTGATCATGCTCAGTCATACAGAGAGTTTGGACTATGTATCTTGGCTTTGTCGTGGTCGTGTTCCTTTAAACATTAATATTGTATCATCGAGGGATTACATCGAGCGTTTTTAGTCATTTGTTTCATTCCAATTCCATTACGTAAAGGGTTTTATTTGTTTGGGTTTGAGGATATTGATGTACTTCTAGTGTGTTGCTCTTGTATGATCACAAATCATTTTGATTTTTATGTATCTATACTATAATAACAGTATACCGATAATTTCCACTTATTTATTTTGTCCTGGCATATACGCATTGGACTGTTCATAACCTCTGGCTGCTTAGCGAGTGCCGCCTATCAAGTAGTCTAAGACACTCGAGTCAAACCAATTGATTAAAGTTTCTGAAGTCAAAATCAACGGAACCAACTTAGTTTGGTGTAGGTTGGTCTCAGGATTGATTCGAGTGCTTGCTTACTAAAAATTTTAATAATTCCACGTACACAGGTCAACAGAAAACGAGCCGTTTCATTTTGAGAACCCCCAAGTCATTAGTTGTTCTATTTCTACATAAAGAAAACCCTGAAGAATTGCTTAATGAAATTCAACATCCTCAGCTTTACTGATCACGGCTTAATGTTGCATCTCTTACCGTTGTGTTCGTTTCTACCAATCAAGACCTTGTCAAGATGGCTATAGATTCCCATTCCGAGCTACATATGACATCCTGCACGGTATCATTGAATTGTACCTGTTGTAAGGAACTCACTATTTATACTTCAGTGGTAAAAAGTTAGTGAGATTGTGAAGTTTCTATTTACAGAGGGATTCTGCTGATCAATGTCAAAGCATTTAACTGCACAGGGCTCGGCTAGCAGCTCCAAGGGTTCTTCACCTATTCAATTGGTAAAATATTTTATATTTCAGTCATGAGATCTTTTGATGTAAGTCTCAACCTTAACCATTGTTCTGCCCCATATATCACAATTCAACAATACTTGTTGCTTAAGAACTGCTTACCTTGTTTAATAACCGCGAGGATCCCATCTTCGGAGCAGATCATTATAGGTAGAATCCGTGTGGAAGAGATGTTGCTGGTGTTTGAAGACCTTGTGTAGCGATCATACTGAACTTCCCAAACTTCACTTTCAGATAACAAAGAAATTGGAGCCTCACCTGTCCCGGCACCCGAAAGGACAATAGGCTGTTGTTGTGCTCTAAGATCCCAAGCAAATACAGTGCCTGAAGAGCCTCCTGCCTGTGAAACGCTAGAAAAAGTAAAATTCAACAAAAGATCTCAAGCAAATAGAATTTGTTAAAGTATTCTAGCATGGAAGACCAGTAATCACCAAAGAATCAATAAACACAAATTTCAATTCAACAAAACACAAATTGAAGCTTCTTTCCAACATTGTTTAAATGGAGGAAAACTGATCAGATTAGACCTTTCTTGAAGCTTTTTCCAACATCAACCTTTCCTATTGCTTGGATAGGTAAGAAAAAATTAAAAAGCTACGACATAAATAAGTAGTAAAAAAAATTGAATTGGAAGCACAGAATCCCCTGCAAGTAAAACATTGAAGAAAGAACCATTTTACATTATGGGTAGGAATGTTAACCGACATCTGCAAAAGCCATCAGCCATATCCATAAAAGTATTCCACTAATTACAAGATTGTCCTATACATCCTAGAACGAGCTAGCATTAAATCTTGCTATCATTTAGGTTCTGCATAGTCCGAAGCCAGAACTATGTCTGCAAAACCACTACCAAATTAACAGAAGATTTAGAAAATAAGAAAGTGGAAAAAAGAAATGCTATTTTTTTCTATTTTTCGCCTTATTCTTTTTACTTTACGTCTTATGATGATTTCTCATGGTAGCAAAAGAACAGTTGGTTGATCTCAAATGTAACCAGCACTGGCATGATTGAAATGAAAAAGCATAACAATGAGAAAGCAGGCAGCAATCTTACCAGAAAAGTGTGTTTCCGTGATGGGTGAATATCAATTGAGTGAATAATTCCAGATGTTTTTTCTTGGCACCTGCAAGTTAACCATTAAAAAAGGGGATTAGAATAACATCATTTGAAATGATGGCAGGGTGGAATGTTTAATCTATAAATTATAATCAGCGCTATCACCGTTAATGAATCAAAACCGAACAAACGAAATGAACCATATTTAATCGACTTTGTATTGACCCTATTATCAACATTCTGATGTAAATAGGCTAATCACATGAACAAATCTCGCGTTCAGGGAGGAAGAACATGGAGAAATTGAGAAGATGAACAGTAAAAGAATGGTGACAAAAAATATATTAACCTTTAAACTACGCATGAAAAGTTATAATATTGAAATAAGTCACGTAATCACATTGTTAATGAAAAATGATTGAGTGGTAAAAAAATTAATATATAAAATTTAGTGAATAAGTTAAAAGAATAAAAAATAGTGAATAAAAGAAAAGAAAAAATAAAATTCAATACGTAAATTTATAATTTATCAAAAAAAAAGTTACAAAATTGTTTTCTCTTTCTGCTTGTCTGAAATCTGACATTTCCTCAGACATTCTGACTCATCTTGTTCTCTATTATGATAGTCTACTTCTCGGGCTTTGCTTTGATATTGGCACTTGGTATCCCATTTTATAAATATACAACAAACGAAACTCAAACATTAACTTTCAATAAATGCATCCTACTTCCCATCACCGTACACGTGCTATTCATTTTGATTAATAATAAGCCCGTCTCGCTCCCCTCCCACATTAGCTGCCTAAACAAGAAGAATAAGCAGAGATTTTGGGCATGATAAACTAGACACAATGAGAAAGACAAGCGAAGCAAAGACTGGAAAGGGAAAAGGAAATCAACAACGCTTGCGCTTTCTGTTAAACATGGATACGTGAAATCCGTGGTACACATTTATTTTCTATCTTTAAATTTGTTCAACCTCCGTGGAGCTGAATGGCCGAACAACCCCGTTGGTAGGGCATTGGTCCCAGAAAGAGGGCCCCTGGGAGGGGCTAGTCCCACGATAAAAAGATGTAAGTAGGCATTGTTGACCGGAGAGGACCCCAAAGACAGAGACTGGAGTGGATGTAGGTTCATGTGGCTTTAGCCACTTACACCCCTAGAATCCATAAAAACTAATGTCCCTGTTGGGTGGTGGGGGCTTAGGGTTGGCCGTCTCCATAAATCTCACCTCGGCTTTGCTGCTGCTTTGAACAGTACAGTCAGAATGAAGAAGCAAATAAAAAAAAACTTGCACATGATTTTTTTGAACGTTAATTAAGAAAATTAAATTATATTTAAGAGATATATTTATAGTACGAAACATGGGGTAAGGAAGGGATTTTGGGAAATGATAAAGGGTAGGCAAGGAAACAACAAAAGGACAAAGGTTGCTTGCGCAAATCTAGCTAATCTGGGGCTTCTGGGGCAAGTAAAGTGAAACTTTGGGGGTTGAAACAGCTGAAGCTGAGTTGTGGTGAAGGCAAAGCCATTCCCTTTCCCCCTCCAAACCGTACCAACAACACTATCCGCCCTCCCTCCTTTCTTTTGCCCACATTTACTTGGCCTCGTTATGTTTTTAGTGTACATACATATGCGAGCAACCTCATTTCTTCTTCCTCTTCCTTAAAAATGCTATCTTTCTTCCTCTTCACCCTTTGCTTTATAATTTAGGACAGCAAGACCCCGTCCGAGGGAAGCAGATGAAAACAGCAATCAAAACGTACAGACACCAACCTCATGTATTTTTTTTCTCTTTCATTTTTGAACTCTCCGACTAGTTCTTTTGCTGCTTTTCTTTTCACCCTGTGTTTTTTGTGTTATAATGATGATACAGGCTTGTGGTGGTGAGGGGGCGAAAGCTCTCTTCAAGACCGGTGGAATATGGTGACTACTGTTGTAAATCCATCTACAAAGAAATTTGAAGCAAGGTTGAGCTTTTCCATGAAAATTTATGTGAAGCAAATGGGTCCCGGATGCTCATATGAAGAAGCATGGGGCAACTATAAAAGGGATATCATTTTCCTCAAACTCCAATCTTTGCAGCGAGCTCTCTTCTTATTCAGCCTCCGCTGATGGGAGATGGTGGATGTGATGGCGGTGGTGGTGATATTGGCGGGATCGGCTCAATCTCTTACATTGTTCATTTATGAATACACTAAAAAAAATTTTGTTGCCTTATTTTGCTACTTAGTGCTTACATTGTTGCTCCATAATGTTGGTAAAAGGAATGGGTATGTTGCTGCTCTCTTTTCTGATCATTTCCACTATATTTTTACTCTGTTTTTTTTAAAATTTGAGTGACTCTTTTAGCTTTAGTTAGTGTTTGTGCTTTGCTTCATGAAAAAGAAAAATCATGAGAAAGGAGGTTAAAAAATAGAGCAGTAAATAAGTAGGAAGATAATTATGAGGTAATTTTTTGGAGGTACCATTCAACAATGAGAACTTCAATTTGAAAGCTCAATTTTGGTTGTAATTTATCGTGCAGCTCTAAGTAGGAAGATAATTATGAGGTAATTTTTTGGAGGTACCAGTCAACAATGAGAACTTCAATTTGAAAGCTCAATTTTGGTTGTAATTTATTGTGCAGCTCCTGGGGAAATGTGTTGGTCTTTTTTACTGTCTTATACCCATTTCTGTAATGAATTTGTAATTTTCTACTGCATTTATTCTATAGCGAGCACTCTAATGCTTTATCTTTTTGTGATTTTGGTGTGGGGGAAACTGCTGGCCTAGAGAGCACCTAGACTTGGCTGTAGGGCAGGGGAGGACAGTACCCATGGAAGTCTAAACAATGTATTTCAAAAATAAGTTTGATAATTTTAAGCAAAAGGTGAAAAGAAAGACGGGGAAAGACGAGAGAGTAGAGGTAATGAGTGGTGACGACGAAGGATGGGGTTTGGGATTCATGGAAGTGTCCTATCATGTCTACACTGCTCTGCAAATTTTGGGTTTTGCTTCCTTTTTCGGTTTTTGGCATGCACGTGAATCTGGGTTGTGTCTTTTTTGCTTATGTTTAGATTAGGTTAGGCTTGTTTTATCTCATCATTTTTAATAAAGCTCATATGTGATTATATATATATTTGTTTCAATGTTAGTGGTTAGTGTAATCTTTGGTGGATGAGGCTTTTCATTGATGGTAATTCCCAGGAAAGTGATTTCTCGATGATGATTTGATTTATAATTAATCAGAATCATAGTAATGTGTTTATCAGAATGTTTATGGAGATTTATTAATTTGTCTGTGTCAGGTGGGTTCATGTTTTTCTAGAATATTTCAACATCCAAGCATATATTTAGTTTTTCTTCTAAGTTGTGTACCTATTTCATGCTTATTTACATTTTTGGATGATAGTTCTTTCCTTTTTCATATACTTCATACATAATGCATGATAACATAATTCTTTTATAATTTCAGTCAAATAAATAGTTAAAATTATAAAAGAAATAAATAAATTTGACTCAGCATTGAGTCAGGTGGCCGTCCATATCAAAAGAACAGTGTGACACATGTCAGCAAATTTATGATCTTGTCTTATGAGGGGTAGCTGAAGACAGATTTTTAGCAAAGAAATGATTCAATTCCAAACAGTGATTTGATGACACAAATTTCCAAATTTTGCATGCCAAATTGTAATGCAAACAAACCCAGTACTGAGCTGAGCACTTGGTTGTAGGTAAAATGTTGTCTCAGGCTACGTATCCTAGTGCCTATGCTTTGTTTGTTATCCTGAACCAGCTGTGCTATCTTATTTATTTTCTGTACCACTTTTTGCTTGATGTAGTCATGTTTTCCATTATAGCTTAACTACCGTGTTTACAAGTTTAGTTTCTAAACCAATCCAAATATGGAAGCCTATAACCTACTGCTGGATGAATGAAAGGTAGACGCAATGCAAGCATTTATGAGATGAGTAGTAATTAATGAAGAGGGACCCCCTTGCATTTATGCTCATTGACTTTTTTAACTGCTAGGATGAAGATCTATTCATGCTGTTTCTTCTTCATTCAATTGGCGTCGTCACCAATGGTACTTTCGGGACCTCAAGATCTAAATGACCACTGGCTTCTGTAAATTGATTAAAGACAGTTGGATTGGACAGATTATTGATGTTTGTATCATAATTGATCGGCAATTACGGCCAACCATGCGGGTTGTGAGTTTTCCTGCGTGCACATATCAACCGTGTTTAATGTTGAAGATTCCTTTAAATCACACACATCATATTCATGAATATGATTAGTGTTTAAGATTTTAACGTATTGAAAAATGTGTTGCAAACATGAAACACAAGACATTTGATGCTCTCTCAGTCATGATATTCTCTTTCACACATTAGATGAACACAATGCCTCAACAAATTTCAAACAGTGTATGAACCAAATTTAAATCTGTTGCAGTCTAACAAAAATTTCAATTCATCGACAGCAAAAGAAATTCAACAAAATAACCCTTAAATGGAAGTAGAACAGATAACAATAATTCGATGTACTGTTTCACTGCAGGTATTCACAGTTAGATGACTAAAGGTAACTCAGTATACTACAAATACCTACTTCACATTATCCAATTACCACACCAACAGCATTTCACAGTTCAAACAGAACTAGCACGTACTGAAGCGGTAAACTAGAAGAGGGACGCTTAGATTGCCATAGTGAAGGGTGCTAAAGCATCAAATTCATTCTGATCAAAATATAATCCGGAATCCACTTTGGTTGAATCTAGTTGTAGGAAACTCTCTGATGACGATTTAAATGTTTAACGTCTAGCGCTTCAGTCAACAAAATGAAATTTACACTGCAGCAATGAGTGTTTTGACACAATTCCAAAATGGCAAATGCTAAACCACAGCCATGGATGTCCTTGGGGGGGGGGCACCCTGGCAGTTAGATATTCAGACTATATCTTGGATGTTTAGAGTTCAAATTCTAGAATGAGAAGGGTGGAATTTACAGGGTGTTACATATAAAAAGTGTAATGGCATAATAACATAACAGAGAAGGAATCACGGACATGATTATGCATAGATGAAATAAAGTTAGCAAGATTGCATATGTCCCTCTCCCATTCTACACTTTGTGTATCCTACTAGACATACTTTTTTGCGCAACAACAGATGAAACATGAATGTAGTAACATAACGCATACATAAAAGTCTGTAAGAATAAATAAATCATGAAAAGAAAAAAAAATTAGAAAAGCAATGGCTTGTCTCTGAATAATTACCATTCAAGTTGATATATATATCATAGGAAGTATCAAGTGCCAAAGACCCAACAGGGGTGAGGTTTTTATCAACCAACATTTCTCATACATGAAAGTAGTGCTACTACAAAGGCTCAACTACCCCTGGCAGCTTAAAACCATAATTATAATATCATCCCCACATTTCAAAGATTACAAAAGATGTCTTCAGTAATCCTAGTAACATAACTAACGACAGCAAAAACAATTAATTACATGCCTACCAAATTTTACCAGAAACCTAGTTCCCAGTTGTTTCATGGATTCCCTTCAAACAAAGATAAGTATATTAAATCAAAACCATAATAGAACATAACTTATCCAGTTCAAAACTAAAACAAAAAATTAAAGTCAATTCCTCGATAGAAAGTTCAGTCCAATATATCGGAAAGGGATTCCATATGCTCAACTTGGATGCCAGATAATTGGTACACAACTAACCTCAAATTATTCAATGGCACATCCAAACATAGCTTATAGCAGCAACAATAATAATGGAGTAATTGACAACATCACAAAACAACAAATACCCCGATCAAAAAACTCATCAGGGAAAAAACCACCAATATCACCTGCATCATTGCTTGACGTTCTCTAAGTACCATTTGTAAGTATCGACAAGCCCGTCTTTCAATGAGATCTTGGCATTCCAGCCCAATGAAGCAAGCTTCGAGCTATCCATGAGCTTCCTAGGAGTCCCATCAGGCTTCGAAGTATCCCAAACAAGCTCACCTTCAAAGCCAACAACTTCCTTCACCAACTCAGCTAATTCCTTAATAGTAACCTCTTTTCCACTACCTACATTCACATGGTCCAATCCACTGTAATTCCCCATCAAGAAAACCACAGCATCAGCCAGATCATCCACGTGCAAAAATTCCCTTAACGGACTCCCGGTCCCCCAAACAACAACTTCTTTCGCTCCGTCCACTTTGGCTTTATGGAATCTCCGCATCAAAGCGGGTAAAACGTGGGAATTCTCCGGGTGGAAATTATCATTGGGGCCGTATAAATTCGTCGGCATAGCGGAAATAGCATTGAACCCGTGCTGGATTCTGTAAGCTTGGCACATTTTGATCCCCGCGATCTTGGCAACCGCATACCATTCGTTGGTGGGCTCCAGGGGCCCGGATAAGAGCGCGTTTTCAGGGATGGGATGCGGCGCGAATTTGGGATAAATGCAGGAGGATCCGAGGAAGAGGATTTTCTTGACGCCGTGGCGGTAAGAGGAATCGATGACATTGGTCTGGATTTGGAGATTGATGGAGATAAAATCAGCCGGGTAGGTGTTGTTGGCGTGGATTCCGCCAACTTTCGCGGCTGCTAGTACCACGTACTGAGGCTTCTCAGCGGCGAAGAAGGATTCGACGTCGGATTGGCGGGTGAGGTCCAGATCGGCGTGGGTGCGGACAACGATGTTGGTGAAGTCCAGAGATTGGAGTTTGCGGACTATGGCTGAACCAACCAGGCCTCGGTGGCCTGCTACGAAGATCTTCGCAGATTTGTTCGAGAAGAAAGAATCTACGGAGAAGAACATACAGAACAAAAGAAAACAGAGTTATAACTAAGTTGAGATCTGTTGAGGGATCCCATGAAGAAAGACGCGGAGAGGGAATTACCGGTTTCACCCATTGCTGGAGACTCGGGGATGTGAACTGTGAAGAAGGAAGGAGACGCGTGGGATTGAATTTTCAACACCCAGATTTCACAATCTTTATACTTCGATACTGATAACAAGTAAAAGATACGTAATCCGGTCCTCTATGTGATATTTCGTTTTTTTGTAAATCTTAGTGGGCTCAGGGAAGCTTCATTTGCCAATTTTGAGGAAGAGCTGACAAAACAGTTGCGCCCATTAGCTGTATAAAGTATAACGCCAAATTGATTGGGCCAATTTAGAACTTTCTTCCTATAGAAAATGAAACAATTAAAGGATTGGGCCTTAATAAACTAATTAGTTATAAAAGAAGGATGAAGTTTAATAATAAACAATAATTTTGTATAAACATGTAATAAAGAACTTCTTGTTTCGTGGTGGAATACACACAGTGGAGGTATTGATAATTATAAGCAGAGAATTGAATGATCCATATGAGGTGTTGAACAACTCGGTTGATCCTTGTAGCTGGACTATGATCACTTGCTCTTCTGAAAACCTTGTAACGGCCCTGTCACTTCATTTTGTGTGTATGTTTTGGAAAATATCGCACATTTAGGTTGTAATAATGTCATTTGTTTTCTTTTTTCAGGGAAGCTCATGTCGGTCTTCATCAGAATGATAGTAAATTTCAACAATCTTTATCAAAAACTTTGTCTGGGGCGATATAAATCAAGTGGTTTCATTTCATTTTATTTTATTTTTGCAAATTCTGTTTGCTCAGAGGTTTGCACAAAAACATAAACAGGTTTTAAAAGAAAAAAAATATTGTCATTGAATTTGGAGATTATATTTTTTTACCGTAATTTAGCACGGCTCATGTAAATGAAATGGGGTTTGGCAGGAAACCAACGCTAGACTGGAATACAAGAGAATTGCCATTGGAGCAGCAAGGGGGCTTCTGTATCTACGATGAACAATGTGACCCAAAGATGATTCACAGGGACGTGAAGGCAGCTAATAGTCTTCTAGATGATTACCGCGAAGCCATTCATTGTTGATGACTTTGGCCTTGTAAAGCTCCTTGATCATGCTGATTTCCGTGTGACCACTGCACTGTTGGGCATATTGCACCGTTGGGCATATTGCACCAGAGTACCTCTCAACAGGTTAGTCTTTGGAGAAAACTAATGTGTTTGGATTCGGCGTTCTCTTCAGTCTTGATAGAGCTCATTACTGGAATATGGGAAAGTTTTACTTTTTTTTTTTGGTGTTTTGATTTATCTGTCTGCCATATGGGAAAGTTGCGAAAAGCACAATAGGAGCTGTATAGTGTTTTACAACATCAGATGCTCTGCACTCTGGTCCCAGTGAGAGACTGACTCAAAACACAAAGATTTTGCCTTTCCCTGTTAAAAATAGCATTATATTGCAAGAGTTTTTGTGGTGGGAAAGTGAAAGGTAATTAATTGTTAAAAAAATATCTCTTCCACTTCTTTTTTACCTTCCCATGTTCCTTGCATAAAAAATGTCTGATGATGAAATATAGAAAATGTAAAAATTCGCTAAATCACATTCGTCCAATTATGATAAAAAAACAATTATGTAACATAAGATAGAATTATAATTGTAGTTAATATATTTATATGAGAGTAAATTACAAATTTACTTATTGAACTTTACTCTTCCTTCTTTTATTCACTATATTTTTAATTCATTTAATTTACTCATCGAATTTTATAAATTGGATTCTTTTAGTCATTCCACCGTTAAACCTTGTAACAATGCTATAATGTGGATTAGATAATGATTTTTTAATAATTAAAAATAAGGTAAGAGATACATCAGAAAATAAAATACAATAATTAGAAAATAAGATAAATTACACCATAATCACTTAATTCTCTGACTCACCTCTTCCTTTTCGGTCACTCTCCGTCCATCGGTGTCACGCCTCCTTAATTCTTTGTGTATAACCCCTAAATCCTAAAACCCCAATCAATTAAAAAAAACCATGAAAACAATCCTAAAATTTCATCCTTCATTTAATTGTAAGCCTACATTTTTTTAGAAAAATTACAAGGAACAATTTGAAATTCTCAAGTTGTCCAATACATTTCAGGTAATCATGCATTGAAACAAATATAAAACCCTATAACAACAACAAAGAGTGTATCTTTATCAAACTTTTAACCCTAAAAACATTAAAGAAAATAACTCAAAAAATAGGAATTACCGTGACTTTGTTAACAACAAAAAAAACATATTGAGAAATAGCTATATGAGAATACCCGCACTTAATTATTATCTTGATTCTTCGAATTGGAAACTTATACAATACCGCTTCTTTTTCTCCATTTTCTTCCACTTTTTCCTTATGTTTCTTCTTATTGTTGAGTATAAATGGTCCTTCATCAACAACACGGTTAAAAAGCTTATTCAGACAGAGTACAAAGCAATGAGGGTGGACGAAAGGTTGGGGAGACGTGACATCGGTGGACGGATGATGGTCGAAAAGAGAAGGGCGGGTGAAAAAACCTGTAAAGGTAGAGAGGTGAGAGCGTGAGGATGGGGTGGAGTCGTGGAGAGTTTATGGTTCAGGATTGAGTATAATTTTTGGATATGGAGTTTGAATATCATTTTGATTTTCTTTTTTATTCTGCATATTAATAAAACAATAATAATAATGATAAATGTCAAATCATATAAAATATCAATAAAATAGGTTAAAGTGATGGTTTAATATTAAATTATTTCACATTATCTATATGCTAGAGAGAAAACGGCCAAATAAAAAATTTAATTTATAAAATATAATAATAAATTAAAAAATTGAAAGTACAATGAATAAAATAAGAGAGAGTAAAATTTAATGAATAAATTTATAATTGACCCTTTATATAATTATATTGATATTTAATTATCATAATATATAAAGGTCAATATTTAAACTTAAATATTGATAATAATTTTTTTTTCTTGATAATAAAAAATTAGAATAAATACAAACGGAAGATTCACTAGCATATAAATTTAAGAATTGTTTTTTCGCGCAGTTAAAAAAAGAAATCAGCAAATTTAAAAGGTAGTGGAAATATGTTAATAAAATTTTCTATTTTTGGCTTAGGATTTACCACTAGAAGAAGAAATTGAACTAGTAGTATTTATCAAACGAAATAAGCGCAACCCAGAAAAGGCGGATTTGGAGTTGGAACTTGAAATGCTCCTTCAGCCACCGTATTCAAGTTTCCCGTATTTTTCTTCACAGGACTGAAGTTCAAAACAAAAAATAATAAATCTGCTATTTTCCATTTTCCAATCTCGTCGTAAGCTCAGTTGTGTTCCTTTCCTTTCATGGCTTCCTTTCGCAGGCTTCTTCCCCTTTGCTCTTCTCTCAACGTATGTTCATCTCTCGCTCTCTCTCTATTTTTTCTCTCATATTTTTTTAAAACTATTAGCAGCAATGATCTCACTTTTCATGTATCTTTCTTGCAGAGAACGAGATTTTCTTCTTCTGGTGTTCTTTTAGGTTTTCCCCTCCTTTTTATTCTTTTGTTTACTGTTTGTTTGTTTTTTTTAAAAAATCTGTAAATTTGGACTTATATATTTTTGTTTTTGTAAATGTTTCAAATAGGCATGTTTCGATTGCAATCTTATTTTTCTAACTTTTAAATTTATTATGTTCTCTTGGTACAAGTTGTGAGTTGTTGAATTATTTGAGATTTATATTATTGTAAAAAAAAAAAGGATTTGGCGCAAATGTCCGTGGCTACAAGCAAACAGTATCCAAGTTCGAGGAACGAATAAAGCGTGCAGAAGCAGAAACTTCGGAGGCTAATGATGACATTGACAGGATTCGGACGGAGTTTCATGCTGCCAAACGGAGTTTCCTCGAGATTCCAGAAGCACTCAAGGCAATGCCGAAGATGAATCCTGAAGGTTCGATTATGTTCTGTTCCTTTATGTTTAATTTGAATCTGTTTTAGCAGATTTGCGGATCCTATATACCCTGTAGTATTCAAAATGTTTTTCTGTTTGATGTTAATGTAGGTATATATGTGAATAGGGGTATTAGACTGGATCTTATTCAGGTATACGGATTTGATTATGATTTTACATTGGTACATTACTCTGCGAACTTGCAAAGTTTGATATATGATCTCGCAAAGGAACATATGGTGAATGAGGTTAGCATTTATGTGATATTATAATGCAGCTATGTAATTGATCTTTTTTACTGTGTGGCTTATTGTTGGTGTTGACATATTGTTATCTATCGCATTCTTGCAGTTTAGGTATCCAGAGGTTTGTTTGAGTTTTAAATATGATCCTTCCTTTCCCATTAGAGGATTGTACTTTGATAGGCAGCATGGATGTCTCTTGAAGTTGGATTTTTTTGGTTCCATAGAGCTAGAGGGATGCTTCTATGGTCGTCGCCAGGTACTATTAATTATTTCTGGTGACCTGGCTGTTCTGCTTATTGTGCAATGCTGGAACTAGGTTTGCCTTGATGATTAGTATGGGTTATTTATTACCAAACTATAGTGGTGTATGATTGGCAATAAAGGGAGAGAGGAAAATATTAGATAAAACCTGCCATGTTTAATATGAATGGTTTTGACACCTGGGAAGATGTGAGTTTAAAGTTTCTTAAAACTTGTAACAACTCGTCATTTTTATTAATGATCACTAGCAATAGCTTGAGGCTTCTTATCAGTTTGTATCATGTGCATGTGTTGGGAAATTCTTACATGACTATATGAAATATCCTGCTTCTCATTTTGCAACTTATGATGCAGCTTAGTGAGAAGGAAATAGTAGAGACATATGGAAAAAGACATATTGGCCATGACCAGGCACGCCGTCTTGTGGGCTTGATGGACTTTTTCTGCTTTAGTGAGGTTGGTTTCAGTAATTGCATTGTTTGTATGTATAACAATGTTGTACATGTATGTCTAAATAATAGCATATGTAGGCTTTCACATTTTTAAGACGCATCTATGAGTGTTTGTCAGAGCATTATAATCAGATGGTGCTATTTGGGCTAGGGGATTCCAACAAATGCTTACACATGCATGCTAATGTCTCATAATACCTTTTGATTGACTGTAATCTTAGTACTTCTTTTAGTCATTGCTGCTGCTGCCTTTTTCTTCTTCTTCATTCCAATGTTATTGATGAAATAAGATAACAAGTTCACTTTTCAATATATCTAATAAATGTCAAAATATCCTGTCAATTTGAAAATCCACTTGTGGACATTGATATGGATAGTACATATTTCAGGCTTGCCAAATTGTATTATCAGGTTTTGTAAGTATTTTTTGCCTTTTCTTGGACTATTTGCCTTTATGATAAGCACATGTTTTGTTCTATTTTCAAGTTCCTGATTTTTTCCCTTCCATAATCTTTTTAGGCATGTCTCATTGCCGATATTGTGCAATATTTCGTTGATGCTAAACTAGAATTTGATGCCTGCTATGTATATGAAGATGTTAATCGTGCAATTCAGCATGTTCATCGAAGTGGTTTGATGCATAGAGGAATTCTTTCTGATCCTCATCGATATCTAGTAAAAAATGTAAGTATTAATTATTTATGTTTTAGTTATTTTTGAGTGCCTTTTAGTTTCAAAGAAAGACTTCTGTAAAGTTTGCCCTGCCCTCTGTGAAATATGTTCTTTCCTCCTGGGAATGCTAATTTTGGATTATGTTTCAGGGCCAATTATTACACTTTCTTAGGACGTTAAAGGAGAAGGGGAAGAAAATTTTCTTGCTAACAAACTCACCGTATTACTTTGTGGATGGAGGGATGCAGTTTTTGTTGGAGGTATAAATTGCAGTAGCACTGATGCCTTCTTATTTCATAGTTGTTAATCTTAATGGATGATTAATATTTATTGCTTGTAAATTCTGTATTGCCTGTGGTCCATTTTTGAAGCAATACAGAATATTCTTTCTAAAGGTAGAGAAGATATAGTTGATGGAAATATTCTTCAAATACATTTAATCATATCATTGTGGAAGTCGCTCGATGGTGATTGATGATTCTGATTTCTGCCCTCATATTTTACATTGGTTTCATGAACTTCTTGTTGTTGTTGTTTCATCATCGTTATTATTACTATTATCATTATAGAAACATTCAAACAATTTTTTATCAAATTGTAAGGAGGACCTTTTAAATTACATGATATGTTTAGTCAAAATAACTTGGGTGAATTGCACTAAACATCTCCAAACTATGCCCAGATTCTAATTGAGTTATCAAACTATCCATGGGGTTTCAATCAGGTCCTTCTGTCTTTCTAGCCATTTGCTTGAGCATTAAATGTTAGCTCGGGTTTGACATGGAGCATATTCAAAATACATGGATCAAGTTTTAAACACTGCAAATGTTGCATGGACAATTTAGACTTGACATGTTAAAAAACAATGTCATTAAAATTTATTATGACTATTGCGTTCTTTTCTTTTAAGACATCAAATTCTAGCTGCCCATGCCACGTGTACACTATTTAAAATTTGATCCACATGTTTTAAATATTCTCTCTGCCATATCTAAACTAGCATGCCCAAGTAATGTGGATTGCCTGTTAATATTTAATAATGTTTTGGCATGCTCATGTTCTTTCAATTGGTAAAGTTCAGAACTCAGAAGTGTCTAATTTGCTCTAAGTTTGACACATATTTTAGGATTCGACTGATAACAAACATTCATGGAGAGAGCTTTTTGATGTTGTAATTGCAAAAGCCAATAAGCCGGATTTCTATACTTCTGAGCATCCTTTCCGGTTTGTATCTTCAATTTTTTTATATTCTCCACCTATTTCTTTAACATGGTTAGTGATTGAGGATAATTTTTATTTTATTTTTTCTTTTCTGCTCTAATGACATGAGATAGCATAATTGAACTAATTTGGCGACCTCTGCTACAATGGATATGAATTGGTAAAGCACGTGATAAAAATTAGATTATCATGTGAAAATTTGGTGTGAATTGAAGATTTAGTTTGCCATCTGGTGCCAAGTAGACGAGGGAGTGTCTATCAAAATAGACTCGTAAATGTTTTTTTAACCTATCCAATTAATTATTCCCAGTGAAACCTAGCTTTTAAAAACGTAAATAACCCACATAAACTTGGAGTCTTGGACACAAACCTGATCTACAATCTCATGGGGAAATTTGATCAGGTGGCTTTAAAATTTAGAGTGCAGAGGTTCAAAAAAGAGTTCTGCTGCTGAAGAAGAGAATTCTGTGAAATGCTTAAAAATAGAAACGTGGAAGCAGAATTAGGGAAGTTCAATTTTCTTTTCTGCATTAGGTTGTTCTTGTCTTTTACTTTAGTTTTATCCCTTGGCCTTTGTTGTGCACTTGCTAATAACAATTGCATCCTTTTCGGATTCATATTTATTGATCAGTCTCCTGGAACTTAAATTGCAGCTGCTATGACACAGAGAAGGATACTCTAACTTTTACAAAAGTGGATAAATTCCTCAAGAATAAAATATATTACCATGGATCCCTGAAATCTTTTCTCCAAATTACTAAATGGAATGGCCCAGAGGTATATCATATTTTATGTTCTGTAGCATTTTATATGATCTTGTACAAGATTGTTCAATCATGTGTAGCTAGATTGTGGTAAGTTCTTGCTGGTGGGAGTATTTCACTGCTCTGGTTTTCTTTATTAGGTGATGTACTTCGGTGATCACCTATTTAGTGACTTGAGGGGCCCTTCAAAGGCTGGTTGGCGGACTGCTGCTATCATCCATGAACTAGAAGTATGCCTCTTTTCATTCTTAGCTCTCGTCTCTGTGTGTGTTTGTGATGTCTTATAAGACAAACTCTTCATGTCTTTGGGTTGTGTTTGATTGCAGAATGAAATACGCATACAGAATGAAGATAGCTATCGATTTGAACAGGTAAATATTTCTGCCTCTGGGATATATGATATTGTATAATGGGGTTGACTTCCTTATTTGGTTATTTGGCAACTCAAAGGTTGGTTGAGTTGAATGGATTACAATGTCGATTACTTACATCTATTGACTATTTTTTTAATTATTATTATTTTGAATGAAACTTTAGTCGAGCTTTAATAAATCATATAATGCATGACCGTTTGTTCAATACATGGGGATACTATTCAATCCAGTATAAGTTGTCTTCAATATTCATTCTGAGTTGAACCAGCTCATGGGCTGCTTTGTTGCCACCTCTCCTAGTGTGCTGAATTTTGATGCTTCGGACCCCTGAATTCTGTTGACCATTCTATTATTTGCTGAATTCCATTGCTTTTGTCTTCAACGTGAGAATTCAAAAATAGAATTTTGACTTTATCCTTTTAAAAATGTTCCTTCGATGCAGGCAAAATTTCATATACTACAGGAACTGCTTGGGAGGTTACATGCAACTGTACCTAGTAGTAAGAGAAGTGAAGCATACAACTTACTTATGAGCGAATTAAATGAAGAGAGGCAGAAAGCACGCTGTATGATGAAAAGAATGTTCAATACATCTTTTGGGGCCACCTTCCTCACTGACAAAGGTCAAGAATCTGCTTTTGCTTATCACATCCATCAATATGCCGATGTGTACACCAGTAGACCTGAGAACTTTTTGTTCTACTCACCTGAGATGTGGCTTCATGCACCGTATGATATCAAGATCATGCCTCATCATGTGAAGGTATTTCATTAACCTTCTTTAACTATCTACTTAAAACGAACCAACAATCTCTTTGTTTATTTTCTCATTTATGAAAATGATACATGGTATATTTTCTTGTTTTATGCTCTTGCTTTCTGCCATTGTTCTTATGCAGCTAATTAGAAAGATCACATTCCTTAATAAGAGCAAGGAGTCATATAAAAAAAATTAGCTTCCCTTAATAAGAAAAAGGAGCCAATTTTATACCAAAAAAATCCAATAATTATAAACATTACTCTGACAAAATTAAAAATTTAACTTAAAATAACGCCTAGGGTCCTTTTACAAACATGAGGGGAGGGACTCCTATTTCATTGTAGTGTCGTTTTTACGATTAGGCCCATAAAATGTAGCTACAGTGTGGTGGGAGGACTCTTTACACATTCCCAAAGCATCCCCTACCTACACAGAACCTCCCATTGAACTCTGTATCTGAAATATCTGCTTAAAGAAACATAAGCTGAACTCAGAGATACCCAATAATGCATTTTTAAGCTCCTGACTAATTCTCTAATTACTGCACATGGTACATGACCGACTTAAGATTGATCACACACAACCTACAATTTCAACCATATATTTATGTTGATGCCGAGCAAAGATGTTCTACTTACCAACATTTAATGTATCCCATCTTGAAATTTTAATATAGTCAATTTATTGTTGTGATCTCTGATGCTGAATTGTGATCAACATCCCCTCTTCTTTCTTTCAGATTCCCTCGAGTTTGTTCAAAAACCAGTAGTTGTTATTCCTTAATGCCGTAGAAGATGGGCGGACCATTTTGTTCAGCTCCAAATCTGTTAGGTTTATTGATGTTTCTGTCATTAGAGATACCAGGGTATAAAGCTCATTTCCATGATTGGTTGGAAACTAATTCATTTCCATCCTGCATCGTGCAAAGAGATGAACCTGTTGCTCCGAATTTGGTGGAATTTTGAATTTTTACTTGGAAAGATCAGGAGTAGGGAGCCGTTATTGACTAGTTTTACGACGAATTGCCGTTCGGAATCACCGTTGATTTTGTTCCCAAGGTGATTTCTTGTTCTTGAGTTATAGCTAAATTGTTGCATTTGAAGTTCCATCAGCAGCACGAGTGCTGTAGATGTGGCATTGGATCTAGTCTACTGATAGATGATTGCCAAAGCATATTCTAAATTCTTCGACACTTATCCAGCTATTCCATTTTCATCCGTCTGTAACATTCATGGAACATCAATCCAAAGCTGTTTTAACCAACTAGATGTAGTTATAAAAGCATGTCCTGCGCTGCCATATTTGTTAAAGTAGTTGTTATAATCAGTTTCGCTTTTCTGCAATTACGCAAGAATAAGAGGAAGCTCTTACACACTAAAACTTGGAATAAAGGGAAATGTAATCAGGCCAGATTTAGATATTGTATCGAAATGAAAACGTGTTATATTAAATTTTAATCATTCACTTTTAATGTAATTTTGTTCACTTCTAATCATTCATATCATTCCAAAGTTGATGTGGTGGCTACTCACTAGCTATATTTTATTTGGTGATGAATGTGAAGCCTACCTCCTTCCCAGTTTTCTTTCCCGGATATGGTTTTGCAAGTAAACTGGGAGCATTAAGAGGTTCTTGTAACGACGGAGTGGTTTATTGAAATGGAGTAGTAATAGCAGTAGTTGGCTCACTGGAATCGACTATTCTGCTACCATTCTTTGGCTGTTATGGATAGCTTATGTAATAAAGCAAAGGACAAACTACTTATTTGGTACCTATCTATTCATGAGTTTATGTTTTGTTCACTTAATTATTTTTAATTTAAAAAGTATGAGAAATTTTGATATGGTATAAAAACAAAATAAATCCTATACGTTGAATATTAATTTTCAGTGTACTTGATAAAAACCATACATTCGTATATATTGATAAATTGAGGGAAGGATGGGATTACAATGATTTGAATCTAGTTGTGTACTAGTGGAGGTGGATATTATTTGATTATTTAACTTCAATTAATATCTTACAAAAAAATAAAAGTTTTAATTATTTTTTAAAAGAGTAACTTCGTTTTTGGTAGCATGTGAGATGCCTGCTTCTAGGAAGGGCGGAATGAATGGTTGAACAAATCGGGGGGTCACATGTCCTGTCGTGTGAATTAGAAGGTTGGGCAAACAAAGTCATCGGTTCATTGATTATAATCGCCATTTTATTTCAATTTCAACATTCATCTTAATTTAACGTTTGACTTACAGCTTAAGGGTTTTTTTTTTCCAATAAGAAGTTTAATATGGAAGGGAAAAAAATAACCTTTCTTTAAAAAAGATCGCTTAGTTGTTTATATTTTAGTTTGTGTATTTGATTTAATTAATTTTGATATTTTTCTAGTAATTTAATATGGATTTATGATCATATTTTTTTATTTTAATAAATAATATTATTCAAACTTAAAATATTTAGAAGAAACATATCATCTTTTATAATTGAAACCATTCTTTGAATTCTGTATAACTGAATTTCATAAATTTGAGCAAACACAAAGTGAAGCGTGGTTTGGTTGCATATTGCTATTATAGGTTGCGTGCAGCGGATTACTCGGAAGCGATGGAGGTCACGCACGCAGAGCTGATGGAAAAAGTGGGCTTTGAGAAATGCTAGCGTCGACACCCAATAAGCAACTACTATTATTTGCATTTATTACTCGGACCAAATCGTATTTGTTTTTTAAAACTAAATCACAATATTATTTTTTTACGGGTAAAATTTCAAAGTTATAAACATAATAATAAATAGAATCAAAGTTTAGTGTTTGGTGATGGTATAACAAATACAATAATTAAATTAAATTAAATTCACTTATACAAAAACTCTACCGTGATTCCGTATTTATTATAGTATATTTTTATACCAATTTTGCTATAATCGTACTAAATTATACCACATTCGTACTGATGGGTAAAAGAAAAATATCAAGTAAACATGATCAAGGAAATCATCCATAACTTCTACAAAATATTATTTTAATAAACAATATTTTAAGAATATTAATTTTATGAATAATTTTAAAAAGATATATATGAATAATAAAACTCTCATAACATAATATTCTAATCAATATATAATTTTTTTTTCTATAACATGAAGATAAAAAAAAGATATTAATGTAAAAAAACAAAGGTGTTAAAATTAATACAATATATTACTTGACGTAACAATAAAACTTCAATTTTTGAAAAATTCAAAAAGGCCACGTTGGGTGTCGTTTAAAAAATAACAATTTGAATTAAATAAGATTAGTTCCCGTTGATGGACGTGGTGTTAAATCCAAAATAAGGTCACATATCCCACGCGCTTGCATGTGTGAAACGTGTACAGCGCTTGACAATGATTTTGCAGGAGTAACCTCTCCAATAAACCGCAGAGAATTTTCTCACTAACTTCTTCAGAAACTCCCAACTCCTCGTTCCATATATAATCCCCCACGCCACTCTAATGTTTCTACAATTTCATGTTTCCTCTCTTTAGCCAAACGAACAGCAAATCCAGTGAATAGAACCTACCGGGATACTGAAACGATGGCGTTTCGCTTGAGCAACAACCTTGTCGGTATCCTCAACTTGATCACGTTCATCCTCTCGATCCCCATCCTCGGAGCCGGCATCTGGCTGAGCCGAGAAGGCGTGACCGAGTGCGAACGGTTCTTGGACAGGCCCGTTATCGTAATCGGGGTCTTCCTCATGTTGGTCTCCCTCGCCGGACTGATCGGCGCTTGCTGTCGCGTGACGTGGCTGCTCTGGGTTTACTTGGTCGTCATGTTCCTCCTCATCGTGCTGGGGATCGTCTTCACGATCTTTGCTTTCGCGGTGACGAATAAAGGGGCGGGAGAAGTGTTGTCCGGGAAAGGTTATAAGGAATACCGGCTCGGGGATTACTCCGACTGGTTGCAGAAAAGAGTTACTAATCAGAAGAACTGGAATAAGATTAAGAGCTGCTTGGCAGACAGTAAAGTTTGTAGTGATTTCCATGATAAATATCTTAATACCTCTCTCACGGAGTTTTACCAGGCTCACTTGTCAGCCATTCAGGTATCTTAATATATATTATATTGTTTTTCTGAGATGTGAGTTTTCTTCTTCTTCTTCTTCTTAACATAAAAATTGAATCAGAGATATATTACAATTCATATAAAGCTTTATGCTTAAAGGGATCTGGAATGAATACTTTTTGTTAGTTATATTCTTTATGTAATCTATTGACTTTATGTTGATTCTAACTTTAGGAGGATAAAGGTTCTCAACTTTTCTAAAGTGCATATTCATATAAAATATTCTGTTTTCTAAGATTTCTATTTCCTGTAAGATTACGATTCCAAGTGGTTCTCGCAAAATAGATAGTTTAGGGGATCGATTAGCAGAGTGTTCCGTCACAAATTAGACGTATCTTATTTGTTTTTGTTTTGTGTGATTGCACAGTCTGGTTGCTGTAAGCCATCCGATGACTGTCAGTTCACATACGTTGGCCCGACTAACTGGACAAGAGGGAATGTGGCGCCGGCCAATCCAGACTGCAATCTGTGGGATAATAACCTCAATACTCTATGCTTCAACTGCCAATCATGCAAAGCTGGGTTCATAGACAACCTCAAGCGTTCATGGAAGAAAGTGGCGGTTGTCAACATCGTTTTCCTCATCTTCCTTATTGTTGTATACTCTGTTGGCTGCTGTGCTTTCAGAAACAACAGGAGAGACAACGCTTATCATCAAGGCTGGAAGCCTTAACCCTCTTTCTCTGCTTACTTAGCTTCTGATGATTTTGCTTGTTCTGTTTCTATATTTGCATTTGGACCTTTTATTGTATATCTTTTATTTCCTTGCGTGGTTGTTTGCAATTTAGATCGTTCATATATATATGTATAAAAGCTCCAGATATTTGTTTTGTAATTGATGTTGAAAGCTTTCATGTTCCATCTATTGAATGTTTACATACTATGTTTGGTTTGGGGACTCCTAAAGCAAGAGGAGGAATGGGATTTAGGGACCTTCAAACTTTGAATCTTGCCCTTAAGTATTTTCCAATGAAAATTTCCTCTCATCTCAACCAAGTCACAAGTCTTGATATAACTAACCACTTCTTTTGTTCAAACCTTCACATCACTGACTTTAAAGGCTTAAGAGTCTAATGTTTTACGTGGAGACACTATTAGGGCCCAATGGAAATCCCACATTTGCAAATGTGATTCAAAACTAACGTACCAAAAAAAATCTCACATTTCTTCGATTCGAAATTATCTAAAAAAATCTCATTAAATAATGATAAAATAAAATATTATTTTTTAATAATGGATGTAAATAAGATTTAAGATAAATATGTGTCCATCTTAAAATATAAATTTTTTCAATTAATTATCTCACATTTCTTCGATTCGAAATTATCGTTCTCTCTAAAAAAACTAAGTTTAAATAATCATATTTATAAAATATATACGTTATTGGTAGATTAAAAATATTCTAAACATAAGATTCGTTTAAAGCTCTTTTTAAGAGAGTTGTGCACCCTTCCTAAACATTTATTTTTGTAATAACCTATAAAAATTTTGAACCAAAAACTTGAACCGATTCGCATAAATACATATTAAATACATATTAAAGAGTTAATATAATTTATTTATTAAATTTAAATCAAATATATAAGTTATATATTAAAATATAATATCACATTGAACATGATAATAATAAAATTAAATACATATTAAAGATAAGTTTGGACGAACACAGTAAACACATCAAATATGAAAAAAATGAAAGTAAGTCTAATATTGTAATTTAAATTCAAAAGCTGAAAGCATCAAAATCACAGCTTCTACGTTTCACTGCAAAATCACTTATCCAACGCAATTTGTAAGACAAATACATAGTGTTTACCGTTTGGTCTTGCTTTTGAATAAAAAAAGCAGTGCATTTGACGCCGGATAAGCAATAAAAGCTTATTGGTGGAGTTTCTGTGAGCCTCCGATGAGTTCCCTCGGCTCTCATCTCTTGCATTAGAATGAATGGAATTCACAAAATTTCAGCTTTCAATCAACAGTATTGAAATGGTTTACAAAATCTGTGGGTGAAATTGAAATTGTAGCGGAACCAGGTTTATGCATAATTTTCATCGGTATTAGTATATTTATCAGACAAAAGGGGTTGTTGGATCGGACTGGTCTCGTGGTGGATATCTGCCCATTCAATGACTCTAGATCTGTTTCTTTCACTTGGTAGTCTTCGGCTTTTCCCCACAGAACAATATATAAACCACCAATAACGCCAACTGCACCTATTAGGCTGAAATGAAACACACAATGAGACTGCATGCAACTCATATGTCCAAGGAATTTTTTTGCACG